CACACACACACACACACACACACACACACACACACACACACACCTACAGCAGTGAGGATGTGGCAGAGAATTCAAGATAGGGGCTTTTACTCTGAGATTTAAAATGGCAATCCTGCATAACTCTCATCTGGAAAAACAATACATTCAGTGACTTATGATTTAAAAAGGCAAAACAGTAACAGCAAAACCTTTGCTCTTAGTGTGAAGATGTTAGCAATCTAATTATCTTCCCTGAGGTAGATGATCCCTCTTCCAGGGCATTAGAATTCCAGACAGGGATTTTGCCAGAAGGGAAGCCTGAGCCAGATGTGTGAGTCTGAGAACACAGGACTGGACTGTGCACCTGGGAGTGGGCCTTGCACACCAAAGTCATGGTAGCCTAGACATTCTGAAAGCTCTCTGTTATGGGGTGCTGTCCATGCTAAGGGACCTGCTAACAAGAGGACATTGACTGTTGATCCTCCAAGTGAACTGAGGTATATTGTTTTCTTTACTAGCTATTGAGAAAAACAGTGCTTTAAAAAGTCTACTTGCCTTGAGGAATTCTAACATTCAGAGTCAGAAAGAGGGAGGAAAGTTGGAGTTATTCTTTATGTCCCAAATGTGTTTAACACCCTTGAGGGTGGCCACTGGAAGCTTGAAAGCAGGGTCCCACATGGACATTGTTACCCAGGTTGCTCTGAGTGATAACAGGGTTACTGTAACATGTTAGACAGTCTTTCTTCACACTTCCTCTTTCGACACACTTCCTCCTTCCCTACAGGGCAGAAGGAAATTGTTTACTGTTGGCTGGGAAGAAAGGGTTGAGGTAGGAAATGGGAACTTGAGGTAGATCCCTATAGATCTGTCCCAAGTGAATCCCAGAGGCAACCCGAGTTCAGGAAGGTGAGGAGATAAGTCTGGTGGAGATGACTGCTCACAGGGAACAAACTGAAAGATGAAAAATGAAGCTCACTCCCCACCAGCCACTCTTGTAAATTCCTCCATCTCTTCTGGAATAGTCATTCACATGGGCCTCCATTGGAACAAAGCAGTGGACCCCAGTCAGGGGCAGTCCCCCTACAAGTCCAAGCATCCCCTTTTGAACCTTCCTGGCTTGCACCAGATTCAGCTGTCTGATCTCTGCCCACATGGCCGTGGCTGTCACAGTGCACTGAACCATCTCCAAAGATGAGCCTGCTCAGTCTGAAGTTACTCTGTTTTGTTTTAGCTAATGGGTGTACTGCTGCCAGCAGTATGTCTGGAATGTTATTTACTTGTGCATTTCTGTGGCTTTTCATGTAGCATCACACTTGGCAGAGCCAGGGGTCATTCATTTGAGAATGCCAGGTTGTGCCATTTGTCTTTCCTGGTAAGGTAAAGGGGAGGCTGGCTCCTGTGCTGGGAGGGTCCCTCCCTGCCTGCTTTCTTACATTTTTGTCTGAGCTAGTAATCTGTTTGACTCTTAGTGCCTGTTGCACCGCACCCCTTTTTCCTCAGTGCCTCAACACTGCTTTAATACGTGGGGCTTCTGTGGGCTTTCCGGAAAGCCTGGCAGATGCTGTTTCATTTGCGTGCCTGCCCTGTTATTACTTCACATGAAAGCTGTCTATTTTGGCAGTCCTGACTCCCGCGATTGCAATTTAGCTCTCTGAGCTGAATGGGTGATATTGTGCAAGAGAAATATAGGTGGGGTTTTTCTCTAATGGGGGCTGTGGGGGCAGACCAGAAATCTGCATGCTGCTGTCTTGGCTTGTGCAGAGTTGACATGATGGCAAACAAATAGGTTTTGAAAGAAAGAACTGATTCCTTACTTTGGGAGTTCTCACAACTCACTTGTTTTAATTGACAGATTTGTTTTTAAAGAACAAATTCTTCATTAGGAAGGACATAAACAAGTTCTAGATAAATGCTAAAGGCTGAAGGTGGGAGCAAAGCAAAGATTCTGTCTGTCTATCCTTTCTGACAGCCGCTTCCTCCCACGTCATCTCTCCAGTTTAATCATGGTATTTGGAGTCACAGAAGAAACTATGGAAACTGAGACTAGATGAGTTGGCATCTGGTGCCAACCCTTGGGCCATTTGCATCCCTGAGAGGGATAGTGCCCACCTTTTTCTCTCGAGGTGCCGTGGTCACATGAGTCTGTGAGGGCCTGAAGCTTACATGGAGAGTCTGTTTACAGGCACAGGGCTTTTCTCTGGGCTACCCTGGAGTTTCCCCTTTGGTTGTTAACTTCACAGTCAGCTCTAGTGTGAAATGGAAGATTTGAGGTTCTATTCTTTTCAGCTTTTCCTGGCCTTTCGCGTGACTTCCTGATTTGCCTGTGAGCTGTGAGAATTTTTGGCTGAACAACTTCTTTGATCATTCTCATGACTGCATGGACTCCAGATTCTCACACCTGTTCTTTTACAGTCCAGATTTCATAGTAAACGTTTCCATTGCCTTGTAATTTTTTTTCAGTATAAAACTTAGTGCAGGTTACTTATTACAGGTAATAGCCGCTTGATGACGAAGACAACTGCTGGCAGAAACAGCAACCTGAACAGCTGCCAGAAACGTAAACTGCCACTTGATTTAGATCTAAAAGCATCGCAGCCGCATCTGTCCATCATGATCCGGCATGCACACAGTAATAACAGACTCTGTGGGCTAAGCAAGCCGCCCCACTGAGTAGCCACAGGGACGGGTGCTAACAGGACTCCACGTGTTCTCTCTCCTATTATCTGCAGCCCACACATCATCTTCCTCTCTCAGAGCACCTTAACAGGCACGAGCCATCTCTGTGGGACCCGTCTTTGCCATGAAATTGCTCACTCCTGGTTTGGCCTAGCCATCGGGGCCCGAGACTGGACAGAGGAGTGGCTCAGCGAAGGATTTGCCACTCACTTGGAAGATATATTTTGGGCTGAAGCACAGCAGGTTGGTTCAAAGAATTTCCCTATTCAAAATCAAGTTCTGTTTTCACTCACTCACTCACTCACTCACTCACTCACTCACTCATTCATTCAATAATGCTAAGTGCACTAAATACTATGTTTGCTGAATAAATCTGTAAAAAGTCTCTTCCCTTCAAGTTCACCATCTAGAGATGGAACAGACAACAGAAGAAACAGCAATGTGATAAGTACTGTGAGGAGAGGGGAGCCCCACACAGATTGGGGGCCTCACACAGAGTGGGGGGAGCTCATGCACAGTAGGAGGCCTCACACAGAGTGGGGGGGAGCTCACACAGAGTAGGGGGAGCTGGTTTGACCATGGAGTCAGAGAAGACCCCTGTTAAAGATGTGTTTGAGCAGAGGCATGAAGGAGGTCAGACTCCTGCATTGCATAATCCTAAGTGTTAAACACACAGGATGTTTTATTTTGTTTCTGATGTTGTTTTGTCTGAGACATGGTCTGGCTATGTATCACCAGGCGGCCTAGAGCTTACTATATAAACCAGACTGGACTTGAACTTATATGAGTACTCTTCCCTGGCTATGAGCTTTTTAAATAATCAGATTCAAATATTGATCTGTAGTGGGTGTGGCTCACACTGGGGGAGGCTGAGGCAGGAAGATGGACAGGAGTTGAGGCCAGCTTAGTCTTTATAACTTCCAGGTCAGCCAGGATTAGATAACAAGACTCTATCTCAACCCCCTCCCCTAAAGAAATAAAATAAAATAAAAATCAGGTGTGATATCTTTGGATGAAGGACAAGGCATTTGATGCTGCAGATTAGGTGGTGTGACAAACTGGCCTGTGCACCTCCACCACAGTCAGTTGTCATGTTTAGAGGGAGATTCATTGTGGCTGGAACAACAAGCCTCAGTGTTTTAGGGAACTTGGTGTTTCTAAATTCTTATGTGATGCTCAAAATTCAGAAAAAAATGTTATAAACCAGGGGTAGTAGCTCACACTTTTACTCCCAGTATGGGAGAGCTTGAACATGAATATTGCCACAGCTTTGAAGGAACCCTGGGCTATGTAGTGAGCTCAAGGCTGGCCTCAGCTTGACTAATACCTTGTCACAAAACCCAAAAGGCAGATTTTTTATCCACAGTACAAATCAAGAGCTGAGGATGTCCACTCAGTGGCCATGCTTCTGTTTATCCTGTAGGCTATAGGTTGAACCTATATATTCAAGAGCTGAGGACGTCCGCTCAGTGGTTGTGTGCCTCTGCTAGCACACAGGCCTGGACTCAGTCTCTAGTATGAAAAATACCAATCACACCCCCTTTCACTGCCTCTACTTTAACCCTGACCCTGAGCTCTGCTGAGCATGGGATTGCAGAACTGTTTCTTACCTTCCGTCTACTTCCTGATCCTGGGGCCACTCCTTTTCTGCATGGTCTCCATCCTTGCCATCCTGGGCTTATTGGCACTTTTCTAAAACTCCCAAGTTTGTTCGTACTGTTTGATTTTGGTCAAGAACATTCTTGCTGGTAAAATCTTGTGTTTCACCTTGAGGCCCCATCTCTTGTTCTTAAGCTGATTCATACCTCAAACTTCTCAACACAGCTTTGCTGGACTCTGGAGTCCTGTCGCTTCTGCTGTGTGTGTTTTTTTATCCTCACTACAGAGACAGTGTCATCACACACTGGCACAATATCTCACTTGTCTTCTTGTCCTCTACCCACATGGAGCTAGCAGGTACCACTCTATATACCCCACTCCAAAGAAGCTACCCAGTTGATTGAAAGGGCAGCTATAATCTGAGCTGGACCAGATTTGAGTCCTAGCTCTCTGTATCATGGGCTTTCTGAGTACAACAGGATATACAGCTTCCTTGGACCTTAATTTTCCCCTTGGGGAAATAGATCTAAGAAGGCTCATATTCATCTTTTGGATGGAACAATGTGTGAGTGACCTTAACACATTCTAGACACATGGAAGCTGTATGTGAAATATCTGTTTGCTTCCATCCCAAGGCCATTGACATTCTACACAGGGTGAATATCAGTACACCTTGTCTTCATCTCTCCCCTGAGTAGTTCCCCACTAAGACAAGCAGACTGAAACTCCTGAGTTAATTTCAGCCATCCCATAGTGTCTCTGACTTCATTTTAGAGAGAAAGCCCTCTTTTGCCATGTGCCCTGTCTGTTTGATTCTTCTGTCCTGAGCATCTCTCTCCTCACCAAGTGACAGAGCAGGCTGGGCTGCATCTCTCAGCTGCCAACATGCCTTCCATGGCCTTTCTATGTTCAACCTATGGGACCAGAAGATAATGGCTAAGAGAAGCAGTCCATGGATAGGGAGAAGAAATGCCAAAATAAAGTGCAAATGAGTGCCAGGTATTATGCACATTGAGAGGTAGAAGAGGCCAGAAGGCCTTATGGAGAAGCTGTCTGCTGCTGTGGTCTCTCCACTACTCCTGTACTCATAACCTTCTATAGGGGCCACCTCACATCACCTTCCCCAGTACATGGAATAGCTTCAACAAACAAGAATAGCAATGCCCTTTGGGCAGACAGTTTTCTAGAGTCCTCCAGAGAGTTCGGGATGGTTTCTAGAGAACATCCATCACTCTAATCCTGTTCTCCAAGGCCTAGCCTGATTGATATCCCTTTTATGTCTTCCTGCAGGAGAGGGGCATGAGAGCCAAGGGTAGGACCCTTCTCTGGGCTGCAGCAGCTCCAGGAGAGAGGAGGGTGACAGAATGCAGTGGTGGCAGTGGCTAATGGAGACACGCACTGCAGCACTGAGCCCCAGTGCATAGCCAAGCATGTCCAGTTACAGAATGAGGGGGAGCTGCGGCCTCTAAGAGCAGCAGCTGGGGAGAGAAGTGAGCTGACTTGCCAGGTTGGGTGGTATACTACCTTCACTGACTGGATAAAGTCTGTCTCCTTCCACATCTAGATTATTCTACTTGGGCTGACATAATCAAATTCCAGAAGTTGTAGCTGAAGTAACAGCTCAAGAAGCTGACAGGAAGCCCCAGATCCAGGGACCAACAGGATTGCTTTTCTGTGGTGGCCTCTTGCTCTTGCTGCTGCCCCATGGTTGCCTCCTCACTTGAGTCTCACACAATCATTCTTCTACTCTCGAGAGACAGACAGAGCTTTGGCATCTTCCTGACCATGGCCCTGAAGGTTCCCCTGCGATAGCTTCATTTAACCATAAGCACCTTTGGAAGGTCTTATCTCCAAATACATTCACATAAGCTCACTCTTTCACATGCATATCTTGTGGATCAGCCTATTGATCTTCTGGCCCCTCTGCAACTCTGCCAGTACCCCTCACTGTGTTCTAAGAACATCACACTCTTTCCAAGCCAGTGGTACTCTCTCACTCTCTGAAGTCTCCGCCCCTGCAAGTTCAGGCACCACCACCTATCCGTGGCCCCTTGCATCCCTACTGACAAAGAGCTGCTCCATGGTCCTTATTGAGCTGCATATTGTCTCCAGCGAGATATTAGTGCCCTCTGTGGTAGTACAGTCTTCCATCCTGACCCAGGGCCTACACAGAGATGTGATGAATCCATTATTAGAGACCAGTAATTCCTAGAAATGTTTGCAGATCTGAATGTTTCCCTCCTTGCAGTGTACTCCACTGCCTGCCTTCTCTTATGGAGATCCCAGCCATGTGGCCTTGTGAACACATCCATGTGACAGCAGCCAATTCTGACTCTGTGGAGCAGTGTGATGGCCTCCCCTGCCTCCAAATTGAGTCCAGACAGTAATACTTTTTTCTGGATCTATGCAAACAGAGTCATCTGGATTACATTAGCAAGCTCCACTATAAACAGTCCTTAACAAAATTGAGGGTTGAGAAAAATAAGAGGTAAGTGGAGGAGCCTTTCCCCTCCCCATGCAGAAGCACAAGGCAGGGAAGGAAGGCTGGATGGAATCAAAGGAGAAATGGTTTGTGGGGAAGACCCCATTTCAGGTGAGTATTCTGGACTGGAGTAAGTAGTTTCCAGGGCCAGGGACTCAAAAGTCAGGGCTGGCTGCACCATCAGCATAGGGGCTGTACAGTGCTTACTTGATGCTCCTTGGAAGAACTCAGGGGATCACTTTGGCCTCTTTTAATGGAGAGCAAGGAGTAGGGTAGGCCCTAATTGTCCCCCACTGAAACAAAGCAAGTCCTTTGCTGAGGAAAACCTGACCAACACATGACTGCTGTGCACATTTTTTGTGTCTGTGTCCCACGCAGCTGCCTGCCCATGAGGCCCTGGAGCAGCAAGAGCTGAGGGCTTGCCTGCGCTGGCATCGCCTACAGGATGAGCTTCGGAACTCCCCAGAGGGAATGCAGGTGTTAAGGTAAGGGACCAATGCTTCCCACCACCACGTCCCCCTCCCTCCCTCCCTTTGCTTTTAAAATCAAGCAGGGTTCTTCACACTAGGGATGTGATTGCTATCTTTTAAGTCTTTCAGGGTGTGTGGGTTTTGATTTGCTTTTTGAAATTTTCCTAGTATCTATTCAAGGAGGGAGGGAGGGAGGGAGGGAGGGAGGGAGGAGAGAGAGAGGGGGGGGGAGAGAGAGAGACACGAAATAACCAGCATGAGGCCATTTCTGGCACTAAATTCTTCACTTGAAGTTCTTATAGTCACTTTATGTGGTAACTGTGGACGTGAAAAAGGTTAGGGTTCGACAGTTTGGCAGACAGTAACCCTTTAAAGCCAAAGAGGGGAGAATGTGTAAGAAAATATTGACTGCGCTGTGTTTAGTAGTAACAGATGTGCGCATCAATGGGCCTTTTGTTGACTTGTTACCCAGCAGGAAACCGGCACTGCTCTCTGCGCTCACAGCAGCTCCTGGGTGGTGTTCGCAGACTGCACATGGCACTTGGAGGATTACTTCGTGCCATTTTCTCAGTTCTGTCCTCTCTCCTTTGGTGCTTTTGTGCTATAAATACTTACCTGAGGCCTCTTGCCTAGCCCCAGGAGCACCAAGGTTGCTACGACGACAGCAGAAGCTTCCATCCAGCCCCTGTTGAAGAGAATCAAGTGTTTAGAATCTGCAGTCAGTAGGCAGGGTGGCCCATCTAGGAATTACCCCTTTCTCAACCCATTGCACATGGCTCCCTGAGGGCTACCTGCTCCCTCTGGGCAGGGCCTGCTGTGGGCATTTCTGCTGTTTGATGCTTCTAAATAAGCACCTGCCCCTGTGTGGGGCCTGAAGCATGCTGGGAGGCAAAAAACAGAGCAGAAAACAAACCAAGCCTGCTAGACCCTCGGGAGCAAAGCTGGTGGGGCTTTTGTGTAGGGCTGCCCTTGCCAAGGCAGGCTCCCTGTCTGTGTGATAACTGTTGTCTCCCAGGCTGACTCATCCATTGTTTAGAAGAAACTGCTACAACAGTGGTAAAACATAGCCAGACAGGAGCCAGGAACCAGAACCTCCACCATTCCGCTGTGGGCCATAGTGCCTGCATCTTTTTCCTTAGTCAACCTCTTGGGAGCCAGCCACACAATGCCTCCTCTCAAGGAACTTCCACTTAACAGGAGCAGTGAAACAAGCCCAAGACCATCATAGGTGGAAAACAGCAATGTAACAGGTTCAATCCATGGTTTCTGAACTAACTGGAGAGCTTCAAGACTGAGCTGGGCATGTGCTCAGCCTGGTAGAGTGATGAATACAAAGGCTTTGAGACTGGAAAGAGCTTTGTTGTGCCTTGGGAAGAGAAATGGCAGAACCATGAGTCAAGAGGGGCTTTACCTCACATTCTTCAGAAGGCTGTTGGTCTCTGGTGTGCAGGGATACTGGGTCGCCTGCTGTTTCCTGTGTAGAAGGGACAGAGAAGAGAGATCAGAGGTGCAGTACAGAAGGAAGGTCTGTGGAGTAGTGAGCTGTGTGTGTGTGTGTGTGTGTGTGTTTGTGGCGCTCGTGCACACACATGTGAATATGTGGATGTGTGTAGAGACACAGCCAGCAGATGCTTACTGAGTGAATGGTCTATGGAGACAATGGCAGCAAGTACCCAGAATGCCTGAGGCTTTGAATTGGGTGCTTGGGTAGATGGTGATGACATTTATGTAGATGGGAGAACAGGTGTTAAAGATTCTGTTATTGCACATGCTGACTTTGAGATGTTGAGTATAGATAGGAAATCAATGGAAGGAAGGCACTTATAGGAAAGAGCATTCATCTTGACTCATGTGAGTACACTTCAGTAACCCAGGAAAGGAAGAGGCAAACAAAGTTGTCAGATGGTCCAGCAAAAGATCCTGGGCAAATAGTTATGTATGTGGAAGAACCTGGGGCATCCAGGTCATGAGAGGAAGTGAAGGTGAGCATGGTTCATGCTGGACGCCCCTGGGAAATATGACCTTACGATAGAAATGTATGGAATGCCAGTGGCCTTGGGTTCCATGTTTGTTTCTGTGATGTGGAGGGGGTAGCCACTCAAGGGAGGTGAGAAGAGTGATTGCCTTGAGCAGAACTGGCCTTGCTAGCTCAGGAGGCATCACTGTGGAGGCTGTATGGGGTCCTACCACAGCTAAGGGCAAGCCGTATGAACTGGAAATGCTTCATCCCCAGATTCAGCTTCTCAAACTAAGAGACCCTTCCCATTCTCCATGTTTAAGTCCCCAGATGGCTGGGATTCTGCGTTGTCATGGTCCTTTGGTGTGGAGAAGGCATCTACATCATCTTGACAGAATGCCTCAGTTTGTAAAATGAGTTACGCTGCCCCCTTGGAACCTCTTCTCACCCCTGCCCTCTGTGGAGCTGTGATCCACCCACTTGCAGGCAGTCGTGCTTTTCGTAGTGAGAGGAGTTGGGAGTGTTGTAGATACTTGAACTAGAAGGCTTTTTGTGGCTTTTATTTATTTTTCTTTGTCTTAATATTCAGAAACTGTGTTGTCCTAAATTTAGGCTGATGAAAACAATGCATTTGAAGGACTCTTTGCAGACAGATACAGAGAACAGTCACCACTGCATGTGCAGTGCAGAGGAATTACTTGATTGGCTTCAACTTAGTCCTGTCTCCTATAGTTCTCCCTAAAATGAGTCCAGAGAACCTCAAGTTATTGACATGGAAAAAAGAAAGAACTTACAAACCTGTTCTGAGACTATGTTTTACTATGCAAATGACCCTGAGGAAGAACTCCTTTAAACAACACAGTGATCAGAGATAATGTCTTTTTTGTCAAGCTACCCCACCGTCTTGAAAGATGGACAGAGAGCCATGTGAGCCTTAGAACAAAGTGTCACTGCTGTCACTCTGTTCCCCCCCCCCCAACACACACACCCTTCACGGCCCTGCCTGCAATTGCACTGAAAAAAAAAAAATCAAGTCATTAGGCCATACGTTAAAGAATTGTGTGTGGGCTACACCAATCACCTCATCAAAGAAAATGACATCTTGCTGGTTTCACACAGGACAGTAGAGGATTACAAAGTAAGAGGAGACAAACCAAGAATTTGAGACTTTATTTTGTCATCACTGCATGTACACACACAACCATGCCACTGAGTGCATGCCACTGTATTATACTTCCACCATTTAAAACCAGTATTAGTAAGAATCTTGAGTCTGAGTAGGTTGCCCAGGCTGTCCTTGCACTGCTATCCTCCTGCCTCCACTCTAGAGTGCTGGGATTACCTGTCTGTACCATGTGACCAGCTACTGGCACCCTCGATACTCCCAGTATTGGACCATGCATCTTATATCCTGTGCATCTTACATTTGACTGATGTTTGATTTCATCCAATGAGTCTGCAACTGACTTTGCTATGAATTTCACCTGGGCTCCAACAGTTTCTTACACATTCCTTCCTGCCTCTAAGGTGGTCACAGCTCTGGAAGCACAATTACTTACCCTGGATTGCAAATGTTAGGGGTCATATTCTAAGTCCATGATGGTATGTGTGTTGGCTGTTAAGAGTCTTTGCCCTAGCAGAGACACCAGTGGCTCTCTCACACTCTCACCCGTCTGCAAGCCCTAGACAGAATTGCCGATTTTCTTAGGCCAGCAACAGCACTACCCAGATACTATGGAACTTCTGCAAGGCTCCCAGTCTCTCAACTCTTAGTACAGCTGGATCACAAATCTTCTCAAGTGCTTTTAGTTAATGGTTTCTGACAAGCCACAAGTGGTGGACGAGCTACAAGGCACAGTCTGAAGAGACCTCTGTGTTTTGTTTTGTGTTGTTGTTGTTGTTGTTGTTTGATTGATTGTTTGTGATTTATTACTGTTGCTTATTTAGGAATTAATTCTTAAAGTCATGTTCAAGCTAAGAAAGCAAGAGGCTGCTGGAACTCCTCTGAGCCTCCACAGCTGCTACAGTGCTATATACATATAGGTATCCTGTCTACCTTCATATGAATGACTTACCCAGAGGCCACAGAAACATCATCCCTGATAATGGAGTGGGAAGCACATTGTAATTCTGTCCAGAGCTAAAGTACAAGCCATCTGCAAATTTGCTTGGTGTCTCAGCTCCCAGCTTCTAATCTAAAGCCATCGGGCATGCTCACTGAAACTCTTCTCATGATCCTCCATTCCCCTATAAGTTTTCACCTCTCAACTTTTCTTAAAATTGGTATTTCTAATTTCTGAAGAATGTGGCAGTTTTCTCATGATGTGTGTAGACATATCAGTTGGCAAAATGACACAAGCCAGCCTGGGGAAAGCTCTCCTCCAAGAGCCCCTAACTGCTGCTTTGGGTGGACATATGCTTTCCTGATTCCCCAGACATGCTGTAATCTTCCTAGGACTTCGGTTCTCTGCTAAGATTATAGATTATCAAAGGGGCAGATATGTTTTGTTTGTTTGGGCAGACATTGTTTTGGGGCCCCCTGCCCAATGTGAATGCATTTGGAGCCTTCCTCCACAAGCACCCACCTCACTCCTTGTTGCCTCTGTCTTCACTTATCCACGGAAACACTTTTCTTTTTCTTCACCCTTAGCAGATAAAAATGCTCACCTTTCTCATCTTAGTGCCACCCCCTCATCTAATCACCCGCTTCCCCTGTCAGGAGCACCAGTTGTCTGGAGTCTACATGCTGCTCTCTTGGGAATAGAGAAGACTTGTCCCTTAAGCGCTGTTCCTGATTGCACCATATTCTGTAACCATCTTTCCATTCTTTCCTTGCTTTACCCCTCTGCTTTCCCTGGCACCATTGAGAAGTCCTGGGAACATCTGTCTCCGGCTTCTGTGCCAGAAGCAAGGATTCTTCCTGCTGCTGCCCCTGCCACCAATCTCCTTTTTGGTCATATCAGAGTTGCTTCTTGTCCCACATTTGATGTTCCTCAGGGGACTACATTCCCAGTTAGTTATAGGGTCTTCCAGAATGATGTTATCAAAAATCAGTCTT